AATGTTCCGGGTTCGCAAACATCTCCGCAAATCGCTTGTCCGTCTTCAGTTTCTCGCGTACTTTTTCAGCGAACTCCTCGTGCGCGGCAGTCGCCTCGCGCTTGCGCCGCGCGCGCGTCTTCTGCTGCTGCCGCTTCGAGAGCCCGGCCGCTGCGTAGCTGGGCTTCTCGTCATCGCTGCTGTCTGACAAGAAACACGCGAACTCCAGGTCCTCCACCGCCGCGTCATCCGCTTCGCCAGTCGCGGCGTGCTTCGGGAGTGCGCGCAGCTCTGCCACCGCGTCCGAGGAGCCGCCGTCCGGGTCGCTTTCCGACTCCCTTTCCGCGTCACTAGACGCTCCGTCACTAGCCGCTCCGTCACTAGCCGCTCCGTCACTAGCCGCTCCGTCACTAGACGCTCCGTCACCACTCCCGGGGCTAGCGTCACCGCGCGCAAGGGAACTCACGCCCAGTTCCGTTATCAGACCGCGCAGCTTTTGCCGCGAAGCTTCGCACTCCTCCTCGTCGCTCGCCAAGTAGTCTTTCAAATACATCTCGTTCAGTTGCTCGGAAGTAAAAGCTTTCTGCAGCACGCTCTTGCGGCGCCGGCCGTCGTCGTCCCATTCGAGCTTCGCTGCCGTGTGCTGCGCGCTGGACTTGAACGCTAACGGCGCAGAGTAGGTGGGTGGCAAACGCTCGCAGCGGTCGATCGGCGCCCCGCCAAAGTCAAGCATCTCGTCCGGCACGAAGCGCACGTCCAACGCGTTTACTGCGAACTCAGCGTCGACTCCGTCGAGCTCGTTGTACACAATCTCCGCGAACTCGCGCGAACGCATCTCAACCACGGCGAAAAAGTACAGCGAACGCTCGACTTCGTACGCGCGAAGTGCATTCTTGTAAGCTTCCTCGCTTTCCGCGGCTGCGCTGTCTCCTGCGAACGCTTGCAAAAACTTCGGGCCGTGCGCCTGCTCGTACTCCAGCCGTTCGCGGCCGAACTGGCTCGGGTAGATTGCGACTGCCGAGACAGTTGAACTGCGATACGCGCCCGAGGCGTCGGCGGTCAGCTGCGAGTCTGTAACGAGCCCATGCGCGACCGCAAACAAGTCGACGGCCTTGATGTGTTGCCAGTCGCAGCCCAAAATGCTCACCCGATGCGTGCTGTCGGCGAACTCGAGGTTGCTGTTCAACTTGCGAACGATCTCCGGAACACAGCAGTCTGAGTCGAGCTCGCCTTCGAGCTCGACGTCGCTGTCTGACGTCTGCTCTTCGTCGCCACCGAGCTTCGGCCTCGGCGCGTCTGAGTCGCTCGCATTCGAGTCGCTCGCATTCGAGTCGCTCGCATTCGAGTCGCTCGCATTCGAGTCGCCCGCATTTGCGTCTTTTGCTTTCGGCTCGCCAGCATCAAAATAGTTCACCTCAGAGTCGTAAGCATCTGTGTAGCTCGAGCTCGAGCGCGCACTTCCGTCTGGCGAGCGCTCCCGAGGTGCTTTCGCGCGCCCGCACTGCACAAGCGCGGCAGCTGGCGTCTCCGCATGCTTGACAGACCCGTCGCGGCGCGGCCCGCCGGAGGCCGCCTCCGTGGCGACAGCCTCACCGTCGTCAGAGGACGATGCCACGTCGTCCATGTCGCTAATCTCCTGGAACGGGTCGTAGACTTCCTCCTCGTTCAGTCTGCCCGTACGAATATCTCTTTCGTACACGTTCGCAAGCGCAGGGTCTTCGATGAAGCTGCGTCAGCGCCCGTGCCACCTACCGCTGAAAGCGCTTGTCCGCCTTAATTTTGGTTTTCCGGTGCGCCACCATCTGCTCTCGTCGACCTCGTTAGTCTACGCCGCTAAAACAGCTCTTCTTGCACCTTGATAAACTCGAGCGTCTTGCTGATGAGGTCCTTCGGCGAAAGGTTCGGCGACAGCACTTTATTCTGCAAATATCCCAGTTTTAAACTCACCTTAACAAAATTAACTGTTCCCGCCTGTTCGTTAATCTGCCACAGTACAGTGCGATTCTGTCCCTTCACACACAAATTTCCGTCCTCCACGCTGCTCTGCTCGAGCTTGCGCTTCTTCGAGGAGTCAGCCTCCGCCGCCTCCGCAGCAGCCGCGCCCGGGTGGCAATTCTGCGCGAAGTTGCTGAGGTAGAAGCTCTCAATGTTCTGGTCGACCAGCCGACGGAACTCATCAGCCGACGCAATGCCCAGCAGTTCGCGCACAAAGTCGATTTTCGCGTGCGTCATGCTCACCTCGATGTTCGCATACTGGCGAATTCGCGCCGTGCGCTTGATTTCCTCCTCGAACCAGCGGAACACCTCGTCGCAAGAGACCGAGTTCAAAATCGGCGCCAAGTTGCCCGAGGCCAAGTTATTGCCGAAATTAAACGCGCGGTCTAAGTACGCCGCTCCACGCGCGGACATTTGCCGCCGCTCGGCCGCGTCGCGCACACGCTCCTCGAGGTAAAAGTAGCTCTTGATCTCGTTCTGGCAAAGCAAAAAGAGCAAATTCAGCGCCAAGCCAATGCAGTCCTCGTCGCTGAGGGCGCTCTCCGCCGAACGCTCCGCGAGAAACAGCACACTCAGGAACTGCTTCATCGCAAACTGGAACAAACGCATGTCGCGCAGCGCCACCGCGCAGCCCAACAACAGGAGAGAGCTCTTGCGAAGAGCGTGGTAGTGTTGCGACGGGTCACCAGCCGTACAGTGCTGCGTGCGCACGCGACGCACTTACCTTCAGCTGGTATCCGACGACAGCCTTCCGCAGTGCGTCCGCTTCGGCTGGTGCGACCTCGAGCCGCTGTGCGCGCGCGAACAACGCGTCGAGATCAGCCGTCGAAGCACTCATCCTAAAATATATTTAATCTGCGGAAAAAGCCGCAATAAAGTAGCGTGGATCGCGGGTACCGCTGCCGACTCGCGCCGAGCGGCGGGCCGCAAAACCGGCGATCAGGCCACTGCGCGTAGCGAATTTTTCAGATTTAATTTGGCAAATGTATTCCGCTAATTATCAAATCGCCTTTCGTTCAGCTGAAACCCGTGTTCGGAAATTTTATGGCGCTTCCTTAACGCACCATTATTTAATATTAAACTAGCATGGCGAACGCGTATGCGGGAGAAGTCCCTTGCAGCGCACGCTGGCAGCCAGCTGACAGTACGTTTTGCGGAAGAGAGGCTGTTGAACTCGCGGTTTTTCCCGGCGCATTTTTGCGCAACACGCGCGTCGGTGCGCCCGGCTGCGGCGGAAAACCGCGTTCGCGCCCCCGCCCCGCCGGAGACACTTTGCAGACGACTCGGCGAGAACGTTGCACCGCAGCAGCCGTCATTTAGGACACAAAAACAAGAACACTGACAACTACTTGAAGCCAGAAAACAAGAAAAAGTTACAGCACAATGCACACCACGCGGAAACTTTGCGTCGAGAACACAGCGAGTACTACGAGACCGTTGAAGACCCCGAAGAGTATTTGCGCTTCCGGCACTTCTCAGACGCCGGCTACGACCTGCCGCGTGCGGAGCCTTCGAGCGTCTCGCACGAGAACAACTTCGTGACAATGTACGGGAACAACTTGTCGGACGTCGAATACTACGAAGCGAACGCACTGGACGGAGTAGGTTTGCAGAAGTCAGAGTCGGACCCCGAGCCGAAAGGCATGGAACCTTACGCGGACGACCACGAAGAGGAGGACGCGCTGCGCGGCGCGTATGGCGAGGAGCAGCCCGCGGTGCTGCCTTCGCAGAAGCCCTCTTCGCCGGAAGAAATTGCGCAGCGCGTGTTCACCGAACACGTCGAGAGTAAGGGCAACTGCTTGTTCGCGAGCGTAACATTCGAGCCCGGCGAAATCATCTTCGCAGAAAGCCCGATTCTCGCCGCAACGCCCAGCCTCAACCCGGAGCTGTGGAAGCTGCTCGAAGACATGAACAACGAGAAGCCCTTTATCATGCCGCCGATCTGGCACCTCACCGCAATCCACTGCATGCTTCACCTAAACTGGAAGCAACGCGCCGACCTCGAGCGCCGCTTCGTGCCGGACCCGAACGAGGAACCCAGCGAAGACGTGCTTCGCATCAACAAAACGCTCAAGCTGAACCTAGACCCTTTGAAGTACCAGCGAACGCTTAACGCTTGGCGCTTCAACGGCTTTGGCCACCACAACGTAAAAAACGGTCTGATCATGTACGACACCGTCAGCTACATGGCTCACTCTTGCGGCTCGTCCGCGACGTGGCACTACGGCGAGAACGACACGATTGTGCTGCGCGCGAAGAAGCTGCTGAAGCCGGGCGAGGAGATAACAATCAGCTACATTCGGGACGAAGACCTGCTCAAGCCCATACATCTGCGCCGCAAAGACCTCGCGCCGTGGCAGTTCGTCTGCAACTGCAACCGCTGTGTCTCGAACTTCGACCACTGCCGCGCGTTCCTATGCCCCGCCTGCGCCGCGGGCGACGTGTGCATGAAGACGGACTACGATGACAAGACAGAGACGTACTACTCGTCGGTGATGCCCTGCAGCGTCTGCGAGTACGAATTCACAGAAGAACAAATTTCGCACTATGAAGAATTGGAGTACAGCTACGTCGCGCGGATCGACGAAATGACGACGGACAACCTGCTAGACTGCGAGAACGTGTACTCCGAAGCGTGCCGCGTGTTCACCAACCACTACAAGCTGTTCGAGCTCGACGGGCTGCTCTACGAAGCGTACAAAAGCCGCGACATGATCCCGCAGGCGGCGCACCACTTGCTGAAGCGCATCCAGTTCGTCAGCAAAGCTTACAACCGGCTGAACTTCACGCTCGCGGGCTTTTGGGAAGAACTCGGCGACCTGTACGTGCAGACCGTGGACTGCGAAGACGAAATGGACGGATTCAACAAGAACAAGATCGCCCGCGCCTATGAGAACGCGTTTAACATGATGTTAGTGCTTTGCGGCTCTGAGCACGAGTATACGCTGTCGGCTCACTCGAAGTTCGAGATCATCAACAACCTGAACTGGAAGCACATTCAGTAGCCGCCTCGCCGCCCGCGCCGCTTACACTTCCAAAATCGGAAGCTCTCGCTCGACCAACAGCAAGTCTCCGAAAGTCTCGAGGTCAGCGACGCCGCGCACCTCGTCGTTCATCATCGGCATCGCGACAACGTGGAAGTCATCTTTGTAAAGCAAGTCTATCTGTTCGAGGTACTTGCTCTGCATGCGGCACCTAGCCAAGTAGTTTTGTTCATAGGCGTTTTTCACGCGCTCCAACGCGCGGTAGTGCTCGAGCAGCTCTTGCGCGTCGTCGGACCGTGCGACAAGCTCCTCGGCGGGCTTGGTCGGCGCGACGCCGGACAGCGGGAAAAGCACGCGGTTGACAACGATGTAGCTAGCGTCAATCTCACGCGCCGTTAGCTCGAGAATCAAGCGCTCCGTCTCGTAGACGCTCAGAAACTCGGGGATGCAAACGCACACGAAAGTGGTCTTCGTCGGGTCAGAGAACATCTCGACAACGAGCTTGGTGTTCGAGCGCAGCTCGTCGAGAAAACCCTCACTGCCTTTCGCGCCAGTAAGCGAACTGAACATCTCGAACGCGGACGACAGCTCGCCGCCGCCGAGCGACTGAAACGCTTTCTCGAGCAGACTCGGGAACGAAAGCAGTCGCAGCGTGTGCCCGGTAGGAGCTGTGTCGAACACAATGGTCGTGAAACTCAGCGAGCGGATGAAGTTCATGAGTTTGCCGAAGCTGACGGCTTCGTCAATGCCCGGGAACGCGGAGATTAGCTCGGGGAGCATGCTCGCGAAGCCTTTGCCGCCCTCGTTCTCGAGGCTGAAGCCCGCGTCGCGATACTGGTTGGGATCCGTCTCCATGGCGTACAGGTTCGCGAAGCCCTTAACCAGCTCGGGTTTGTTGCTGAACTTCTGGCCGAACGCATCGGAGACGTTGTGCGCGGGGTCGGTCGAGACGAGCAGAACGCTTTCGCGGTTCTTCGCGAGCTTTACAGCTAGCGAGCAGCTGGTGGTCGTCTTTCCGACTCCGCCCTTCCCGCCGACAAAAATCCAGCTAATGGTACGGTTGTCTACGAGCTCCTGCAGCGAGCGCTGATAGGTGAACATAGCCGCAAGTTATAATTAATTAAAAATCGGGCGAACTTGCGCGGCTCGCCCGCAGCCTAGACTATTTTGTACTCGGTCGCCGCCATAAACGCGTCATACGGTACCCAGCGGATGTCTTCCGCCTTGAAGACGGGGCACGGCTCGCCGAGCATTTTTTTGATGCGCTCGAGATATTGGCTGGGCAGGTACAGAAAGACTTTGTTGAGGCTCGGGTCTTTCAGCAACAGGTTGTCAGCCTTCAAGGCATCGATGATGTCGCGCGTTTCGAAACCGAGCTCGTTGGCGAGCTCGTTGATCGTGAACTCCGACTCGTCTTTGAGTACGTGCAAAATGCACTGTTTCCAGAAATTGTAGTAGCTGACGCGGCCCAGGTCGCTCAGCGGGCGCTCGGGCGTGCCGCGGATCTCCTGCATCAGCGTGAGCGCATACGAAAAACTGATTAAGAACTTGCCAAATCCGCGTCGCTGGCAGTGCGGCAACACGAGGATGCAGCTGAGGTTGTTTCTGCTGTACTTCTCCTTTGAGAAATAGCCGACGATGCGAAAGCCATCCTCGCAAATGTCAGTCAAGATGTAGAACATGAACAGCGAAACGCAGTGCTTCAGCGTCTTGTGGTCCAGAAACAGCTTTGAGAGAAAGCACAGATTCTCGCAGTAGATTTTGCAAATGCCGCCGTCGACTTCCCAGACTGAGTTGGTTTCGTTGCGATAGATCTCGTTACCTGGCGGGTGCCGCGCGACGCAGCGCGAAGCGTGCCGCTCGTACTCCACCTCGTGCTTGAAAAAACTGAGACAAAATTCGCAGAGCAGCAAAGTCTTGATATTCTGCACCTCACGCGGATACGGGCTAAAGTACCAGGTGCTGATTTCGTACTGACCCAGCCGCACGAAGCTGATCGTCCGGAACTTCGTGTTCGCCTGGTGTTGCTTAATGTAAAACTTGTCGACGTCGCCGTGCCCGTCGCTGTCGATGTCCGCAGGGTCGTAGCCCTTTGTCAGGTTCTCGAGAGAAAACTTCTTGACGTTGTCCCACGAAACCCACGAGTCGAGTCGGCGATCGTAGCCCTTCCAATGAATGTACGCTTCGTCTTTGGCGCCCGCGTCGAGCGGCGCGAGCTCGCTCGGGCGCACCAGCGCGATGATTTTCGCGCGGCGCCACTTGCGGCTCTCTTCGTTGTACGCCCAAACGAGTTCGTCGATGTGGAACTTCTCGTTGCCGCGCACGAAGTTCCCGCCGTCCGCGGCGGCGAACTCGCCGCCGAGATTGCGTCTCGAATTATAGGACATAATTTCGCTGTACTGCGGAAATCTGCGTCGCGCAACTCGCGTGCCGCCCGTGCCAACGTTGCTGCCTTCTTAGCTTAGTGGTAGAGCATTCGCTTAGTAAGCGAAAGGTCGTCGGTCCGAATCCGGCAGAAGGCTTTTTTTTTATGAATTCCGAGCTCGACCAGTTGCTGCGCAGCAAGGTTCTGCTGCGACTCACGGACTACTTGGGAAAGCAGCCAAACTCGGTTCTCTTAGTTGATCAGCTCGTTCTCGCCGCCGTCAACAGCACGTTGACGGCCTCGCTGCTCGATGCGCTCGGCTTCAGCACGTTCTACGCGTTGCAGCACTACGTGCCGCCAAACGACGAGTCAGTGAGCTGCGCCGCGTTCACCGTACTGCTCGCCGCACAGACGCACTATGCGCTGCTCGTCTTCCTCTGCAAGTGTCTCAGCCTCAACCGCGTCGTACGCGTCGCGCTACTCATTTTCCCCTGGCGCCGCTGCGGCACCATGGACACTCTAATGAGCAATCTGCGCCTCTTTGCCGCAAGCAAAAGTTTTCGCTGGGACAGCGCCACTTCTGTGCTCACCATCGACAAGCTGCAGATCGCGTTCGCGGACGCGAACATTGCGCTGTACGCGTCGCACCGCCCGCGCGTCATGAGCTTGCACGAGCCGCTCGCCTTTGCGCAGGTGCGCTCGCACGGCGACCCGTTCGTGTTCGACGTGCTGCACCGCGCCCTGCTCGACGTGCTCGCTGCGCACTTGCGCGCGCAATCGCTGCAGATTGTCGCGTACGGGGCGGACAGTTTGTACATTCAGAAAAACTTGTGTAAGGCGCTGCGCGAGCCGGCGCCCGCCGAAACCGGGCTCGCGGACCAGCACGCAACGTTTCAGCAGAGCTTAGACCTCTGCGCCGCCTTTCTGCGCGGCGAGCTGACGGCAGTCGAGTTCGCCGAGCGCCGACAGGCGACCCCGTGCTACTACCCGCACACGCTCGAAATTCTGCGGCACTGCAGCCGCGAAAAACTCGAAGAGCAGGTCAAGTTTCTGCAGTTCGAACCGAAGCCGGCGCTGTACGTCGAAAAAGCGCACTCCAACCTCAAATTGCAGCTGCCCACAGTCGAGCAGCACATGCTCGGCCAAGAGACCATCAAAACGCCGATCTCCTCCGTAATTATCGTCGACCGCTCCGTCGACTGGGTCGGCGCGTTTGTCACGCCGCTGAGCTACGGCGCGGTCATCGAGCACAACTGGGCTGCGAGCGGCAACTCCATCCAAATCGCGCCCTCCGTGCTCGACGAGCAGGCCGCACGCGCGTACGGCGCCGCCACCGGCGCGCCGCAGAGCCGCGTGTCGGTAGACCTGCGAGGGCCAATCTTCGAGTCTTTGCTGGACATCAAGCTTACGGAGGTCGCCGCCGAGCTGCGCTGCGCTGCGCTCGCTTGCAAAGCAGACGGCTTCAGCAAGCCGCACCTCTCGCTCGAACTGCTGGAAAAGATCAAACGCCGCGACAAAGAGTGGCAAGAACTCAACCTGCACTTGTCGCTGGCGTCCTACCTGCTCGCGAACGTGTACAACACGCCCGGCTTCCACCAGGTGCTGCAGCTGGAGACGGAGATTTTGTCGCAGTCCATCAAGTTCTCAGCGGCGCTCGAGATGCTGCTCAATTTGGCTTGGCGCAAGCTGCCGGTCTGCGACTTTTTGCGCCTTTTGACGCTCCTGCTGTACGCTCGGAAAACAGCGCTGCCGGCGGAGAAATTGCAGCAGGTGCGCAGCACGACTCTCAGCGTCTACGGCAGCGCGGGGTTTTACAAGCTCAACGCGCTGGTCACTGCTGGCGTGATTCCGACCGACAAGCCCGCGTACGGCTCCGCGCAGCTGTTTAATCTGACGAACGCCGGCGCGACGGACGCCGCGAAGCCGAAGCGCGCGGCCGAGTGCAGCGCGCTGGCGCTGAACCTGCAGACGCAGAAAGTACTCGCGTCCGAGGAAGCAGTGCAAACGCGCGAGGACGTCGCGCTGCCGCTCGTAAACTTCGTCGCCGCGCACCTCGACCGCAGTGAAAAGTTCTCGAACTTCGACGCCTACTGCGCGACAAACGTGGAATGCGCGGGCGGGACTGCGCGTGCGGGACTCACGCTGCTGGTCTTCCCGCACTTCGTCACGCCCACCGAAGTCGCCGCTCTCGAGAAACTCAACCACACGCACGACAACAGGTTGCTCGTCTTGGCGGGCGAAGTCTGCGGGTACCGGCAATTCCTAGACGGCTTGCGCCCGAAGCGTGCGGACGACTCCACCAATGTGCACGAGCCGCCGCACCTAGCGCTCAGCTCGCGCGAATACAGAGACGAGCTGCGCGAATTTTTCGACTGAGCGCAGGCGCTGGCGAAGCGCTCACGCGCTCGCGACCAGCTCTGCCTGCTGCGCCGCGCCGTCGTAGTAGCCGAGCAGCGTCGCGCTGCGCACCGCGAAGTCGAGCTCGAACAGCCGCATGAGTTTCGCGTCGCTCGCCTTCAGCGGCGCCTGCCCCTCGCTGCACCGGTGCTCCGCGAGCAGCACGATTTTCCCGTTGTCCAGCACCGTTTTCAGGCCGAGACTACGCAGGTACGGCTCCATCGTGCCCTGGAAGTTGCGCGCGGCGAGCATCTCTGGCGTGATTACCACCGGCGCTTCGACAACCGTGCCCGCCGACACTTTCGCGTTCTCGTCCCGGAAGCGTGTCAGCAGCGCGCGCATCTCCGCGAGCGGTCGGTTGCTGGTCACCACGCTCGCGGCGTTGTTCACCAGCCCGCTGAGCTTGTACAGGTTTGGCTTGGCGCTGCTTGCTTCGTCGGTGCCGAGTCCAACCTGCAACAACCGATTCTTGCCCATAAACAGCTTGTCGGGTTGCAGCGCCGCGCGCAGCTGCTGCAGCGCGACGGTGTTGAAGTTCTCGAAGCGCACGATGTAGACGTGCGCAAACTCGCCAATGGCGCTTTTCACTTTTTGAACGAGGCTTTCTTTCCGCGCAAATCCCGCGTGCGGCCGCACTTTGCTGGTCGCAACATTTTTTACGCGACGAGATTTCGGCATTGCGCTGCGAAAGTTTACGTGCTGCTATTTTAGCGGCTCTAATCGATAAATATAATTCGAAGCTTCGTCGACCGTGAGACGTTACGTCACTGCTCAGCGCTCCTGCGGCGCACTTCGCGCTGCGTCGCTCGCGCCTGCGCTGCTCGGCAGCATAGTCGTCACCAAAACCGAGTTTCCTTTTCCGGTGCAGAACGAAGCGCTGCCGCCCCCGAGCTCCGCACTAGTTGCACGCAACGAGAGCGGTTTTGCCGTCGAGCGCATAAAGCTGCCGCTCGTGGTGCGCGCGTCGGCTGCATCGCCATCTGACTCCGCCGCGATGCACCTGCAGCTACTTCGCTACTTCGAGCAATTTGGCCGCGTGTTCAAGGAGCTCGCCGGCAAAGAGTCAACGCCAGAGCCGAACGCGTACTTGAAGATATTGCACAAGCTGCTCTACCACCGCTTCACAAAGCCCGACATCCCGGTATACACGTGCAAGTGGAAGAAAGTGATTGACGAGGTCGGCGCGTTGGACGCCAAGATGCCGCAAAAGCTAATCAAGGACTCCGACTTCGACCACCTGCCGGCGCGCATCAAGCGCTTCAAACAAATTATCAAAAACTTAGACGGCTACAACAAGATGGAAGGAGGATTAAGGGTAGTTAAAGCTCAAATTTAGTATTTTATAGGTTTACAAGTTGGTCTGCGAGATTTCCGTGATACCGCGGAAACCGAAGATTCCTCAAGTTAAACGTGATCGGACTGAGCGGGTTGACCAATTGCAGCCGCGCCAGCGCCAGTCCCGCCATGTAAAAGTCCAACTTGCGCTCGATCAGTTTCTTCAGCTGCGGCAAGTCGTCTTCCTTGAAGTACAGCCCGTTTGCGTATTTCGAAATCTGGGAATTTGCGTACCCAATCGTGCGCACTAAGCGCAGAAGCCGCAGCTCCGCGCGTACGAAGCTGCGGATTGTCGAGAGGCACTTAGTCAGCTGCGCGTCCAGCTCTTTCGCGATTTCGTAGGGCAGGTAGCCGATTCCGACGTCACACAACACTTTCTCCAAGCGGTAGTAACACCCCAGCACGCCATTGAACTGCTCGAACGCCTCGATTACATGCTGCGGCAGGCTCGCGTTGGCGCGGTTCGAGCAGTCTTTCAGCAGTCGCCGTTCGTTGCCGAGCAAGTGGTACAGGTTCTCCATGTCCGTGATCCGGCCTTCGTAACTGGCGCTGCTGAGCGGCTTGAAGTTGTCAACGATGTCCTTGTAGACCGCGACGTCTTGGCTTTCCAGCGCCGCGACGAACTCGGCCCCTGGGCGCAGCCCGATCGCTTCGGCCAGGTCGTGCAAGCCGTCTTCGCCGAGCGCATGCGCAATGCAGGACTTCAGGTAGCGCTCTAAACTGGCCGCCGCCTTCGGCGGCACTTCGTACTTCGCAACCAGCTTTTCGCGGTAGACCTTGACGGCGCGCGCGAAGGAGCCGAGCACCTGCGCCAATTCGTGGAACAAGAGCGCGTGCGCGGTCAACGGACCGAATGTGGTGAGATCCTTCAGTTTCTTCTGCACGGCGAACGTCAGTTTGATCGCGTCTTTGCGCCGCTCGAAAAAGAGCGAAGCGAGCTCCTTGATCCGCAACAAGCTCGGGTCTGTCGCGGACTCTAAAATGCGCTGCGCCTGCGCGTACTCTGCGCCGGAGTACGCCTGCCGCGCCGAGTAACTCGGGTGCGGCGCGGCGTCGGTGTCCGACCGGAAGCGGTTGCTGTGCTCCGTCAGGTCGATGACTTCGTCCCAGTCGTCCGGCGCCTCAAGGTCGTGCGTCGCGAGTTGCACCGCTCTCGCGAAACCCAACGCGTCTGAGTCGCGGTCCTCGAGTTCGCCGAACGCACGCGCCATTTGCGACAACCCAGAGTCCGGATCCAACAGGTATTCTGCCGCCGGTGGCGCGTCTAGCGGCGCCGCGGCGCCGGAGTCCGGCTGCGCGTCGCACGGCTCGCTAGTCTCTGGCGGACACAGTGAGATGTGCGATTCGCGCACATTGGGCTGCTGCTTGTCGTCGGAGGAAGTCAGAAAGCTCAGCGCAGACATGTCGAAACCGTCGGAAACCGCGGCCAACACGAGGAGACCGCGGTTGCTGCGCGCCGACGGCTGCGCGAGGCCAGCAGCGCCGCGAGCTAGTTGTGCGCCACAGAACCGCATCTCCGCATTAATAATGAATTTATTGTGCAGCGCCGCTTTAAAAGAGTGCGTTGCCGACGTAGCGCGGGTACGGAATCACGTCGCGAATGTTCTCGATGCCGGTGCACAGCATCACGAGCCGCTCGAACCCGAGCCCGAAGCCCGAGTGCGGCACGGTGCCGAACTTCCGCAAGTCTAGGTACCACTCGAGCTCCGCCTTGTCTATGTGTTTGTCTTCCATCTGCTTGAGCAACAACTCCAAGTTTTCCTCGCGCTGCGAGCCGCCGATCAGTTCGCCGATCTTCGGCACCAGCACGTCCATCGCGCGCACGGTCTTGCCGCCCGGGTTCAACTTCATGTAAAACGCCTTCAGCGCATACGGGTAGTCGGTGACGATCACCGGCTTTTTGAAGACCACTTCGCTCAGGTAGCGTTCGTGAGCGCTGCACAGGTCGTCGCCCCACACGGGTTCCAGCTCAAACGCCACTTCCTTCTGCGCGCGCAGCAACTCGACGGCCTCGGTGTACGTGATGCGTGCGAAGCTCGAACTGACGATGTTCTGCAGCCGCTCGAGCAGTCCGCGCTCGACCTTCGCGTCGAGGAACTCGAGGTCGCTGTGCGCGCGGTCCAGCAGAAACTGCACGCAGAACTTTACGAACGCTTCCGCACACTCCATGTTGTCCTCGAGCTCGGCAAAGGCCATCTCCGGCTCGATCATCCAGAACTCCGCGAGGTGCCGCGAAGTGTGGCTGATCTCCGCGCGGAACGTCGGCCCAAACGTGTACACGTCGCACAGCGCGTGGCAGAAGTTCTCGACCGCGAGCTGCCCCGACACCGTCAAACTGACCGGCTTTCCGAAGAAGTCCTTGCTGTAGCCGCCCGCGCCCTGCTCGGTCGCCGGCAGCTTCGCCGCCTGCAGTCCCTCGGGCAGCAGCGTCGTCACCTGGAACATCTGCCCCGCGCCTTCGCAGTCCGCCGCGGTGATGATCGGCGTATGCACGTACTGGAAGCCGCGGCCTTGAAAGAATTGGTGCGTCGCGAACGCGAGCTGCGAGCGGATGCGGAAGACCGCCGCGCACACCGCAAACCGCGGGCGTAGGTGCTGCATGCTGCGCAACGTGTTCAGCGTCGGCGCGTTCTTCGACAGCGGGTAGCTGCCCTGGTCGACCTTGCCGTACACGACGACGCAGGTGCCGTCCGCGCCGTCGACCTTCAGCTCGAGCTTGCGGCTGTCCTTCAAGTTGCGCACCACTTTGCCCACGACTTTCAAACTGAACGAGTACTTGATCGCGCTAATTTCCGCGGCCTCCTGCGGCGACATCTGCGAGATGTCCACGACTACCTGCACCGGCGTCGCGCAACTGCCGTCGTCCAGGTCCACGAAGACCTTGCCGCGGCCTTGCACGCGCACGGTGCGCGACCAGCCGCACACCTTCACGATGCGGTCGAGCAGCTCCTCGCTGCCGCAGCTCTCGGTGAGCGCCTGCACGCGCAACCGGTTGCCGCAGCCATAGCGCGTCAGCGACACGCCGCAGTCGGATTCTTTGCAACACTCCTTCATCGAACGCTCGTGCTTATCTATAAAATCTGCTTTAACAATTAGAAAATAGTTCACGCGCCGCGGTTCGCCAAGAACCCAGCGACTTCCGTCTCGCTCAAAATCCGAAACGCCGGGTTCTCCACCGTCACCACTCCGATCTCCAAGTCCGCGGCGCCGACCTCCTTGTTCAACAAATCTTGGAACGCGTTTAGCAGCGTCACCACTACGTCTTTTAACGTGTCGTTCGGCTTGTTCTCCACCGCGTCCGTTAGCAGCGACACGGCTTGCGACTCGCGTTTGCTGATGCAGGTGGCGTTCCACCCGCAGTAGAAGCCGGCCAAGTCGAACTTGTACAACTCCGGCTCGCGGCGGTTCGGGTCGATGCCAATCACGATGCCGTCTGCGTCGCGCGCGCGCGCACTTACTGCACGCCTGCAGCCGCGCGTACGCGTACTGCGTGAGCACCTGGTTCTGCAGCGCGAGCCGCTTCACGACGTAGAGCGCAGAAGCCTCGTGGCCGTACTCTTCCTGGAACAACTCGGCCTCCTCAACCGCTTTGCGCGCAGTCGCCGCCGCGTCCGGCGTCACGCCGATGAACGCGCCGCCGACGCCCTGCGAGATGCGGTGCAGCGAGGTCGCCTTGTCCATCAGCAGCAGCTTGTCCTGCAGCTGCGCAGCGCGCACCTACCTTGTTCATCTCCGAAAACGCGACTTTCTTCTCGACGCCGACCACCGCGCAGTTCTTGCACTTCAGCGCGAGCGCCGTGATGTTCGCGTTCTCGACCGCCGTGAACGCGTACTCTGCGAATCGCCCCGCGCACACCTACCGATCTGAAAGAGTTTGCCCTCCGGAGAAAAGATCGAAATGTACCGGTCGTGCGAGGCACTGGTCGCTGACATTTTAAGTTTCGGATAAGTTAAATATATAGATTTGCATAAATGGCGCCGCCGCGAGCACGCCAGCGCGCCGCGGCGCGCGCGGCGCTTGGCGACGCTCGCAAATTGCTGATCGCGCCGACGAGCTTTTTCGCAAGTGTAATAACGCAAAAACGCATGAGACAAACGATTTTGGAGCTTTACAAAATCTCATCAATTCGCAATGCGCGCGACCGTCGTCCGGCTGCACTGATCTGACCGATGCTTGACTCTAGAAGCACCTCGCAAAGCTACTTGGAGCGCGTCGCTGCCAAGCGGCGCTCCAACGTGCTGCGCAACAGCCGCCGGCCAACGCGCGCAGCGACGGACCAAGAGAACGTCGACTCGCTGAACTTCGGAGAGCCGCAGCTCTCCGCCAAGCAACTCGCAGCTCTTTCCGCTGACGACGGACCCGACAACGGACCCGGCCACGGAGCCGACAGCGGAGCCGACAGCGGAGCCGACAGCGGAGCCGACTACGAGTCTGAAAACGACTTTGGCGCGCACAACGCGTGCGACGAACTATCTGACGCAGACAGCTTCGACATCCAAGCGCTGAGCTTCGAGCGCTTCGGCAAAGACCCGACGCTCCAGTACTATCTCAACAACCTCTCGGACGCCGCGGACGAGCCCATCGCGGGCCGCAGCGTTTTCGACGCGCCGCCGCGCGACGACCGCGGGGGCGAACGCGGGGGCGAACGCGCTGCTGCCGCGCGATACCTGAGCAGCTCCGAAGCGCTCCGCGACGCGCGAGCGCCGCCGCGCGCGAGTTACGACGAATCGGTCGACTCCGCCGGTCCAGCGCGACACAGCTGCTCCCACTCGGAAAGCGAGTCCGAGCTGCGCGACGCGACAGCACAGCGCCTGCCCGCGCCTGCTGCAGAAAAGCACTGCATGTTCGACAGCTTCGACTTCAGCGGCGCCGCGGCCGGCCGCGCCGAGCCTGCGTCCGACGCCTCGACTGCGGCGCCGCGGCCGCGCAGCGGCCACCCGGGCGCCACGCCCGACGCGCTGATCTTGGCAGAACTCGAAGAAGCGCTGCAGGAAAACCGCGTCGCGGAAGCGACGGCGCTGCTCAAACTGCTCAAGAAGTTCAAAGACAGTGACCTGCAGCGCTGCGAGGCGGAGTGCGGCGCGCGCGCGCCGGAATCGAGCCGCGACGCGCACGAGCCGCAGGCCAAAGCCGCGCCGCGCGCCGCGAAACGGCCCCGCAAAAAGGACCGCTCCGTCGCCGAACTCAAGGAGAATCTAAACCATCTGGTGACGCTGCTCGAGAAAAACAAAGTGCCGAGCCACGGAGGCCAGCCCGCGACCACAGAGTCCGGCGAAGACTCGCTGTACGGCTTTCTGCCCGCCGGCGCGGCGCTGCAGCCGAGCGACGCAGGCGCGAGCGACCTCGCGTCGCTGTCATCGCACCAAGCGCTGGCGAGCCTCAGCGCGCTGACGCAACTGTGCGACGAGCCGCGCAAGCCGGCGGGCGGCGCCGCGCCACTCGACGCAAACAAAGTCTACGTCGAGCTGGAGGCCGCCAAGTTCAAACTATCAGAGCTCGAGGCGATCAACGGCGAACTGAAAGAACTCGTGCAGGCGCAGGCGGACAGTTTCAAAAACTCGCTGCAGACGCTCGAAGCCGCGGAGAAAGAAAAGTCCGGCTTGCTGGACGAGTTCCGCAAGAGCCAAGTCGAGATCGGCGGCTTGAAGCAGACACTTGCGGAGCAAGAGGAAGCGTTGGTTGCGCTCACGCGCCGCGAGAACGAACTGGTTGCTCAGCTCGCGCAGCTGCGCGAGCGGGGCGAAGCGTTGGAGTCCGAGCTCGCAGTGCAAGAGGAAGCGAGCGGCGTGAAGCTCGCGGCACTCGAGAAAGAGAACGCGAAGCTCAGCGGCATCGCGCAGCAGCTGACCGCGGACAACGAACAGCTAGAGGCAGACATCATCGAGATCATCGACTGTTGCAAAAAGTACCGCAAGCTGCTGGAAGAGTCGAACTTGAAGCGGCAGCTGCAGGCGCGCGGCGTGAAGACGCTCGTCGCCGCGGAGAGCGTCGAGCTGCTGCGGCAGCGGAAGTCGATCTACAACAAGTCGTGCCAAGTGAAGAGCTTCGACGTGGACCCCGCGTCGCTGGACGAGCAGCTGCAGAACGAGCTGCAGCAGCTGCGGCGCGAGAACGACAACTTAGAGTCGCTCCTCGAGCTCGCGGCGCGGAACCACGCGAAGCTCTCGCAAGAACTGGAGGCGGCGCAGTCGCAGAACGGCGCGCAGCGCGAGCAGATCGAGACGTTGGAGTTCCAGCTACGCTGCGAGCTGGCCAGCCGAGCGCGGCAGCCGCTGCTCGCGGAGTGCGGCTCGGAGACGGGCTCGCTGCGATTCAGCAACTTCGACTTGGAGCTGAGCAACGCGAGCGGCGGGCCGACAGACGGCGAGCGCAGTGCGGCGGCCGCCGCGCTCGGCAAGAACAAGTCGTGGCGCGAGCTCTTCAGCATGTTCGCGGCGCCGAAATAGCTAGTTTTTCTTCAATTTGTAGATCAATGTTTGCGACTTGTTTTGAATGTAGCTGAGAAAGGACGCGACGGGCCGCGTGCGGCTAGCCGAGTAGTTCGGAATTAGCTCGTCGCAGAGGCGCGCTACGTTGCGCGAGTGCGAGGGCCGCGGCACCAGCACGTTGCGCAGCAGGTCGCGGCCGGAAACGCGCGAGAGCACAGTGAGGTCGAGCAGCAGTCGCAAAAAGTGCTTGCAGACGCGGCGCGCGCTGCCGAACCGGTAGAGACTGAAGGAGAGGTCGAACTGGCTGCTCGTGGGCGTGCTCGCGCGGACCTGCAGGCGCAGCGAGTGCGGGTGGTGAAGGTGGAAAAAACAGCCGCACCAACAAATCTCGTACCAGTCGAGCGCAATGTTGGAGAGGTACTGCGCGAGCACGGTGCTGATGAAGGCGGGCACCCACAGCGTGCAGTAGTAGAGAATGAGCGTCGGGAACAGCAGAATGAAGATGGGCACCAAAAAGCTGCCGATGAGCAGCATGTCGAAGCTATAGTACAGCGAGTCGACGCGGTCGCGAATCATGTTGTACTTCTTGCCGTAGAAGAGCCGCACGAGGCTCGCTGTGACGCTGCCGAAGAGACTGCAGGTGCTGCAGAGGAACGCGAACATCGTGTTGTTCATGAGGTTCAGAAAGTGGATCACGTCCGCGAGCAGCGCGAGCTGGTGCGTGAAGCCGAGCAGCGTCACTCCGCGGACGAGCCACGCGAGCACGGCGAAGCAAAAGCGCCCGCCGCGGCTGAGCAGTGCAGTCTGCGTGGCGAGCTTCAGGAAGTCGTCGAAGAGCCGGGATGCGATGGTCACGCCGCTTTGCAACGCGTTGTTCAGCGGGTCGTTAAACTTGAGCCCGGCGGGCGCGCCGAGGAACCAGTGGAACGCCAGGTCGAAGAAGCGCGCGGTGAAAGCCGGGAAGTGCTCGATAAACTGCGCCAGGCAAGCCATCGTGTGCGCGCGCAGCAGTGCGCCGAGCAGCGCGTCGAGCACACAGCCGCAGAGGTTGTTCAGCAGCAGCAGCAGAAACGCGGAGTGCTGCGGGATGATGTCGTTGACGACCATCGAGCGGTGCCGGTTGCACAGCCGCTTCTTGCTGTAGAGTAGCTGGATGATCAGGCAAGACTCGTACAGCATCTTCAGCTTCAGCAAAATGCTGCTGTAGAACAGCG